GTCCAACCATCTAAGCAATAAAAAAAAAAAAAAAAAAAAAAAAAAAAAAAAAGTCTATACAAAGATTTAACTCTAGACCTTTATATTCTAATAATAATGTTCCTGAATGCCGTGACATTGATATTCTCAACACCTACATTAAACCTAGACAAGTAGTACCCTTTCTAAAATGACTAATGTATAAAACATCAGAGCCTATGTTTAATGTAATGTAAATAGAGTTTGGGACTAGGTGACCGTGTGTCCTCCGTTGTCCTCCTGACTTGTCTTCCGTTTATTATTATCATTATGAGAATATACAATTTATACTATAAATTATATGTTAAAAGGTATTATTAGAACAGTGATCAGTGCAAATATAATTTTATGTACATTTCATTGTTCTCTGTGGCATTTAACCTCAACCACACACAATACCTTAATGCTTATGTAACGATGACATGACAAAAACCTTATCTTAACTATACACAATAGCAAACAATACTCATTAACTGCTCGCTTCAGAAATAGCTAAATGTTTGAGGGTCGTTTATTATCCATCATAAACTCTTAGTTTAACGAAAAGTAGAAGTCATTCCGTCGATTAATTGTATTCATAACAATACGATACAAAACATTGTGTGGCGTTATTTATAATGACTAGAGGTCCCCGTAGTAGTCGAAATTCGACTATAATTAATTGGAATTGTAAGTTTGTACACTATTATGATTGTATTTTATACTTCTATAATCACAAATTTCGCCAAGACTACAGTATAAAAAATATTAACAAAGACAAACAATATTTAATCTATTCTCAATTTGACAACAGACGTCAAGAACAAAAGTTTGACAATAAATAGTATGCATGCGTGTGTGCGTCAAATACATGGTATGTAGTGTGTGTAATGTTTTCTTTATTGATTTACTGTATCTTTTATGCATTATTTAAAAAAAATATTAGCATTGTGCACTTCTTCTCTATATTCTCTATAAATGTGGAAAATTTCATACTCCTCCGTCCGCGCAATTTTCGTAAAAAGGGATACAAAGTTTTTACTTCACGTATTAATATATAGATTATAAGTGCGTTAAGAGATTAGTGTTGATCTACCGTTTGTTTACTGAAATATATCTACTGTAAACATTCAAACTATGTTAAGCTTAATTAATTCAATTATTATAGTTATTTAGTTTGCATTCACCTTGACCTTTTAATGTTTAAAATTTCCATAAATTTTCTTGAATGAAATTGAAATGTGTGATTAAGACATTTTATGAAAATAATTCTGAATAAAGTAATCGTATAGTTTCATAAATAGCCTTGACGGTTATGTTGCAAACTGAGATTAGATTGTGTTTGTATTAGAGAGAATAATGTTAAGCCAAAGTACTATCAGCGGACGGTCACGTGATACTTCCTCGTGGGCGGCTATCATTCTGTTATCACTATGTGCATTGAGTGCAGTGTTGCCACTAACTGAAGTCGCCATTAGGAATCAACGACCAACTTTTGTTATTGTTGTCTGTAATTATTCATACAGGTTTTTGTTTTTTTTATATTGTTTTTCACTTAAACAAGTTTGACGGTTTTTTTTTTGGTTTTTGTGTGTCAACCGATTTCTCTTTCACCGTAAATAATCGGAAATAGCTATGATAAATATTTAAATGTTAAATGTAAATTTCATTCAGATAATGATTTTTTTTTATCACTATTCAAATATTTTCTTGTTATTATGACTGCCGGTGGTAGGATGTCTTGTGAGTCCGCACGGGTAGGTACCACCACTCTGCCTATTTCTGTCGGTAAGCAGTAATGCGTTTCGGTTTGCAGGGTGGGACAGCCGTTATGCTGTAAAAACTGAGATCTTAGAACTCATATTTCATGGTAGGTGGTGGCATTTACGTTGTAGATGTCAATGGGCTCCGGTAACTACTTAACATCAGGCGAGGCGTGAGCTCGTCCACCCACCTAAGCAATAAAAAAATACCCTTTTTGTAATGATGTTGAAATAAGACGCTATATGAGGTATGCTGTATAAGGTATAAAGTATTATATAGGTTTATTTATAAAGGTTTTATTTACTTTATCGAATATGTACAGACATGTAACATGTGTTACAGACAGTTGATTATTATTATATTAAAATACCCGAGTTATGAATTGAGTATTGACACCTAAAAAGAAACAATGTTAAATCTAAAAGATTTTAAATAAGTTGAGGTCATTACTATCACACATTCGATCTATATAATAAACCATGTATATACAAAGTTAAAAAAATAACAAAACTATACTACGGATTTATAACAGCATGTGTAATATCTGTCTTGAGCGCGATACCATACCTTTGTTATTCTTTAGGCCGTTCACCTGTACATGATTTCTCGGTATTTCTCTCAGTAACTTTGTTCGGAAACACTTTTTACGACAGTACGAGAAATTACTATAAATTTAATTTTTACTTGAATCATGAATAATGGAGACTTTAAATAACTCAACAGTTTATACAAGAAAATAATTGTGATTCATTGTAAAAAAGAAGCAAAAACCTTTGCTAAATTAATACATAGCTGTGTTATACAAAAGGTTCTGATATTTGAAGTCTTATAGTAAATATTGTAACTTTAATATACCTTAGAAATCTTATCTCAAGGATTTACGTTGTAGATGTCTATGGGCTCCAGTAACCACTCAACACCAGGTGGGCTGTGAGCTCGTACAACCATCTAAGCAATAAAACTATCTATTAGTAAATGTTATTTGTTTTATATTAATTTGTAATTGTTTCAAAACAGTGATAACCGAATCGGACACCAATAGCAAAGGGTATTACGATAAAATGGTCATGATAATTTTAGTTTTTTAGTATAAAATGTTTCAGGATGGGCTGAATTTATTTGTACATCCATATACCTATGTAATAAAATGCATTGTTTTTATTGCCTTTGTAGGTAGACGAACGAGTCAGTCCACCTGATGGTGAGTGGTTACCGACGCCCATGACATCAGCAATGCCAGGGACAGAGCTAAGCCGCTGCCTACCGTTATTTAGGGAAAGTAAACCGATAATTCTTTTAGCATCAACTTCATACTTCGGTGATCGATAATTCGATTCAACGACTGAACACTGAATGCTAGTCGTACTCTTTTTTTTATTGCCCTTGTAGGCAGACGAGCATACGGCCCACCTGATGGTGATTGGTTACTGTCGCCCATGGATATCAGCAATGACAGGGGAAGAGCCAAGTCACTGCCTACCGTTACTTAGGGAAAGTAAACCGATAATTCTTTCGACATCAACTTAATACTTTTAGCATCGACTGAACGCTATAGTCCGCAGTTCGTGACACACGACTAATGAATATTAAAAAAAAATCTAATATAAAAAAAAAAAGATATGTCCGCTGAGTTTCTTGCCAGTTCTTCTCAGGACGGAGGCTAGTTTTTGTGAATTGGCGGTAGTTCTTTTTGACGTTCAACAAGTATGTACTTTCATTTATGTTGAATAATTTTTTTTTTTATTTGATTTGATTTAATAGTCGCACTCATATCTGGGTCACAGAAATTATGATCTAATTGTGAGCAAATAAATACACAGTCAACACGAGCGCGTGCTGCTACTCCCGCTCTTCTGACTGCCGAATCAGCTGCGACATCACCGATGCTAAAAGTATTGTGTGCGTTCAAGTCCTAACTGTTATTGAACCGATAACAACGGTTGTGTTATAAAATCTGTTATGTTCTCACGATGTGTCGTTCACATCAAGTTAATACTCGTATTATGTTGGTTTATGTAATAATCAAACGATACGATAACGGGTTTAAACATACCGGTTTTATTGTGACTAGAGGTCCCGCAGTAGTCGAAATTCGACTATAATTAATTGGAATTGTAAGTTTGTACACTATTATGATTGTATTTTATACTTCAATAATCACATATTTCGCCAAGACTACACTATAAAAAATATTAATAAAGACAAACAATATTTAATCTATCTCAATTTGACAACAGACGTCAAGAACAAAAGTTTGACAATAAATATTATGCATGCATGTGTGCGTCAAATACATGGTGTGTAGTGTGTGTAATGTTTTCTTTATTGATTTAATGTATATTTAAGGCATTATTTAAAAAAAATATTAGCATTGTGCACTTCTTCTCGATATTCTCTATAAGTGTGGAAAATATCATACTCCTCCGTCCGCGCAATTTTCGTAAAAAGGGATACAAAGTTTTTGCTTCACGTATTAATATATAGATTTAGAAATTTAGAGAAGCGTTAGTACAAATACAATGAATGTGATCATTCACAAGTTTTTTTTTTTTTTAAAGTAAATATGTTGATAACTTATATCAATTTGATCATGTGAATCAAATATTTGGATTTTAAATAACAATGCATGCGTATGATGATGGAAAAATATATAAGTATTCCATATTGTTTTTAAAAATGTTCGAAACATAACAGCTGGCGGTCATGGGCTTGAACGCAACTTCCGCCGGAAACTCACGCCATACTCGTTGCACTTCACATCTTTATGTCGATCACATATCACGTTATATATTTGTGTGACTATATTGATATAATGTTTTTGTGACACAAGACGCGTATGAAACCATTTTTATTCCAAGGTCAAAAACATATTAAACTTATTTACTGGTGGTAGGACCTCTTGTGAGTCCGCACGGGTAGGTACCACCACCCTGCCTATTTCTGCCGTGAAGCAGTAATGCGTTTCGGTTTGAAGGGTGGGGCAGCCGTTGTAACTGTACTGAGACTTTAGAACCTATATCTCAAAGTGGGTGGCGCATTTACGTCATAGATGTCTATGGGCTCCAGTAACCACTTAATACCAGGTGGGCAGTGAGCACCCATGTAAGCAATAAAAATAATAATAATAATTGTTTTATTTTGCATTTGATGACGAATATTTTCTGAAATGAAGACATTTTTAAGCATTTTCAATTCCAATAGCTAGAAGCGTATCTTAATAGATCGTGTTTTGTTTTCAGATACGTCGTACGAGAAAGCATGTCGGCGGGGCTCTGCGCCAAGCACACCGGTCCCCGGAGCCCAGGCACAGCACAGTCCGTCCCGATTGGCTTCATTTTTCTTTTCGAAGCGATCCTTCCGGAATAATCCGTTGAAAAGAACAAAATCAGCAACGAAACTGGAAAAAGAGCGAGCTCTGGCTGCCGTACCAACGCATCCGCCTACACACGCGCTGCGGACGTCCAGGTATAAACTAGTTATTAAAAATTTATTATTAAATTTAATTTATTAACCCTTTGCAGTCTTAAGACTAATGTAATGTAAGACTATATGTCCAATACGCGAAGACAGGTTATTAAAATTGTGTAGACAATTTTAAGCTCTACACAGGTATTGACCAAATCTGTAGCGATAACTCTCTTTTTTTTTTTATTACTTAGACGTGTGGACGAGCTCGCAGCCCACCTGGTGTTAAGTGGTTACTGGAGCCCGTGGACATCTACAACGTAAATGCGCCAAACACCTTGAGATATAAGTTCTAAGGTCTCAGTATAGTTACAACGGCTGCCCCACCCTTCAAACCGAAACGCATTACTGCTTCACGGCAGAAATAGGCAGGGCGGTAGTACCTGCCCGTGCCGACTCACAAGAGGTCCTACCACCAGTAAAACCACCCAGTAATGTAGACCTGTTTCATCTTTTAGATGAGTAGATTAGGTATAGAATACCTAATAAATATGTTGTTACGTACTTATTATTTAGAAAAAAACATTCTTGTGTTTCTGGTTGATTCGAAGCTAGTTAGTTTGTTGGCAAGGTTTAACAAAAGTTAAACCCAATGCCTGTTATTAGTGATATTTTCAATTAGCTATTTCAAACAAAAACCTTTTCTATTATCAAACACGAATATTATTTAAATTAGCGTGAAGGATTTACAATTGCTTGTAGTTATTGTACTAAAGGACATTAATTTTGTAGCAATTATACGAAATTAGTCACTTATTTAGCCACCGTGAAAACGGGGTCAACAATCCATAGTGAACAAAAACACTAAGCAGTAAGTTCACTTTCTAATTGTTTTTCTACAATATGAGCACAGATAATCGGCCGAATGAACAAGATGGACAGCCTTTCATTATTATTAGAACAGCGCACTACTTTTGTGATGTTAGAAAAACATTATTGCCAAATTAATGTGCCCAAAGTATCAATCGATGGAGCTCATTTGACAAAAAAAAGCAAGCAATAAACATCCAATACCGTAATTATTATCTAAGCAATTCCTGTCATTATCTATGCAAAGAAAAACTGGCGTGATTGTCTCTCTGTTTTCAATAGAAAGGTTTTTCTAAGGTTCATGTTCGGTCATTTTGATTTGTATTAGTCTACTCAAAAGTCAACGAAGAATCAAAAGAGTCACCAATATACTACCGATTTACAAACAGCGATGATATTAGCACTGAATCTTGTAATGAAATGTGGGTGTCTTTAAATTGACCTGTGGCTGTGTGCCGAGTGTCTAATGTATTTAACAAGGTGTCGTGACTGCATAACGTTATCAAGACCCGACGGTGTTGTCATAATTCGCAGGAGTGTCGCCCCTCCTCGTTCGCCTTCATTTACAGTGTGTTCTTAATTACTCCCCTCACTCGGCAAACACGAAGCTTCGTTCAAATAAAATAAATTAACTTTGAATGGACTACCCAGTAACTGTCAGTTAATTATTGCCCACGATACTTGACGAATCCTTTACTAAGTTGATTGTTTTCGTTTTTTTTTAAGGATTTTATGACCTGGTAACAGACCTTTAAGTCATGTCTTATTTTAATTTATATTCATATTTTTATGAAAAATGATTATTATGGAGTGAAATGAAATGTAGATGATTAATTTGAGACATTAATTAACTGGGATGAAATTAAATGAAATGAAATGGGATGAAATATAATCTCAGTAAAATGGTGGTCATTTACTAAGATTTTTTCAATAGACTTTTTGGAGGATCCCGAGAAGTTACGTCCAGCGGCTTTGTTTCATTTTCCCACATTTGTGCACTTTCACAGATATTAAACAGTTAATAAACCACCATTATTATACATTTAAACCCGAAGAAACACTAAATAGACAAAACAAATCACACAGCTTCACTCCTTGCGTTCCCGCCAAAAAGTCCCGATTGTTTTCGTAGAACTAATGTAACATAGAGAGTAGCAGAACACAATAATGTATTTAGAAAGTCATATTTATTCTGTAGTGAAATCGATTGGTTTTCTTATTATCGATATATTTAAAATACAACTTTATCTACGACGTTTTCTTACATGTTGCTTAAAAAATTATGTATTTTTTTTATTCTCAGATCTCACGAAAGTCTGTTATCTGCTCACTCTCCCGCCGTTTCCACAATGGACCTAGGCCCTCCGAATCAGGTACCATATTAATAAATACTACATAATACTCCTAAATTAAAACCAGTTTGTGCTATGTTAATAACTATTGACTCGTAATTTAGTTTTTGATAAAAAAAAACTCGTTCTAAATAGTACGCTCGATATTATCTCACATCCTGTATTACGAAGTATTTTTATGAATTCATTTTATCGTTACAATAACAAGTTCATTTTTGCTTTTAAAATGTGCATATCATGAAAGTAACGAAGTAAATAAAAGATTCAAAATTGCTTCAGATAGGTATTTATTGCTTAAATAAAGTAATGGCGTATAGTATTGTCGAATTACAATTTAATTGATTGAATAAATTTAACAACATTCATTTAGCTTGAGATCATTGAGTTTCCATTCAGCCCACTGAGTTTCTCGTCGGATCTTCTCAGTGGGCCGCGTTTCCGATTAGGTGGTAGATTCTGCGAAGCACGGCTCTTGCTAGGGTTCGTGTTAGCAACGTCGTCAGGTTTGAGCCCCGTGAGCTCACCTACTAGTTAAGGTAACGCTGAAATAGCCTCTCAAGGCTATCAGCTTAGGTAGGAAAAAAAAAGTTTCCAAAGACTTTAACGCGCATTCATTTTCAACACTAAAATTGCCTTTGTCTATGAATCATAGAGAATGCTTTGGCAACATTAAAAATATATAATGTCATTTTACTATTTGTAGGTTGAAATACGCGCGCTTCATTCGTCAGTATTGGGCAGAGCGCATTGCTTCGCGCTGAGCGCAGAGAACCGCGCACCTCGATACTTCGCTTGTGCTTCCAGAAAGGAGCGAGACCGGTGGATATACAGGTAGTTGTTTTAACTCGAAAATCTTGTTTTTTTTTTCAGTTAATATAATATCTCGTCACGTTAACATTGATTAAATTTAATTTTAGAATTTTATCATTAGAGAAATCTTGCGATTATTAAATACCTAGTAAGATTTTTTTAATACGCTTTTATTAGCTCCAGCTCCAGACGTATGTATGTTAGTATGGAATCTTTGAACATGATTTTGACTCCCTTCAAAACGTCGGATTAACTCGAAATTCGGTATACTTATTAAGGACCGATGACAATTCGAGATTTAGTAAAAAAAAAAAAAAAAAAATTGAAATTCAACTAAAAATGAAAAATAAATAATAGTTTAAAAAAACTAACAAAATACACTTTTATAGAAAATTCAACTAAAAAACAATAGTAAAATAATTTTTTCTTACACTATTTTTAATTCAAATTTATTAAAATTTATTTTCTATTTTTAGTTGGATTTTCTATAAAAGCGTATTTTGTTAGTTTTTTTTACAATCAATACAATACTTTTTTTAAATATTTTGTTAAAAATATTAGTTTTATTAAATCTTAAGATTTATTTTTAAATAGTTGTTATCGCTGCGATCTCGCGACTGTTTCCTTGAGAGACAAAAGTAGTAATTGAACGAGCCCATGACTCAGTACTCGTTGATTACACTGTAATTCATAATAAAGGCTAACCAATACTATAAAAGTGAAATTATTCGATAATCGTAATACATGCGACATATTAAAAGTAATGTTGAATGTGTTCGTAATTTATGCATTAGCGCATGTTTTAACCCATTGAATTCAAACTCAGTACAGTTATTGTTGGTACAATTAGGAATGTTTTAATTCGTAGTACCATCTACGTACCTACGACAAACACAAACGACGCGCCTGTAGTTCTAAGAAACTGGTATATTTCACAAATTGAAGACAGTGGAAAATGTGTATGTTACGACAGCAATTTTTATATACCAAAGTCGTCATAATATTTTATAGTAAGGAAAGTCGGTCAGGGTACGACAGGTGGGATGCCTTATTTATAAATATGTGAATTTAAGAAAAGCCATTAGCATTATGGAGATTCCCTAATATAGTAATTCAATCAAAATAAATTAACAATGTTATTAATTTATGTTCAAAAAAGAAGCCAACTATTCAAATTCTAAAATTCATTCATAACAATATTTTTAGTAATATCTTCAGATAGTTATTAATATAATATGATGAAGACTAGCGCGTGTCACATATACTTATTGTTTGTTTATAACAAATATCATTGGATACCCATTGTTCATGGAAACAATTTATGTGCATTAAAGAGGTTTGTTTTCTTCAAGTGTTTTAAAATATAAACAATATCAGACTCGATTAGATCATGATCCACTAAAAATTATTATATCGTGGGGTGAAAGAAAGGCTTTTCGATTTATGCGACATTTTTGGATTTTTTCAGGAGAGCCATAAAAGTTAGGTTAAGTAAACAGATTAATGTCGCGTATTAAGTGAAAATGTCGCAAAGAGCCATTCATCCATGGGCAAAGACATAAGTTTGCAACATCAAATCGCTTCCTGTATTTGTTAGGCGCCTAAGGAATTTACTAGAGAGACGGTATTTACTGATGTTATGGCATATTATGAACCGTCACAGGTAGCTACCACCATTTCTTTCTAACTTCAAGCGATAATAAGGCTTTCTAGTTTGCAGATTCTGTCAATGTGTCTTAACATGGATTAATGCATTCACTTGGACTCCACGTTCGTGAACTACGATAACCAGTTAATACCAGATTGCGATCACTAAATCGCTAAACAATAAAATAATCCAATTAAATTTATTATATTACTAGCTGTACCCCGCTTCGCTGGGCATTTAAAATTAACATTATTATTTCTCAACCCCAGAAAGATTCTCATCATTAATGCCCCCGCAACTGGTGTAGGGAGTCCAACACTCATATAAATATTAGCCTATCCATTAAGTACATATATTTTCTACATGGATACCAAGTTTCAAGTCAATCGGATGCATGGTTCAGTAGGTATAACGGAACATCCGAAAAACCACTGTAGATTTATATATTAGTATAAATATTATCAGAGAAGTTCAAAATCAATATTGTACACTTCAGTTTGCGACAAGCGGCCCGACCGGATGAGATGCGGACGCGACGGTGCGAGCGGACTGTCAAGCTGTGGTTGTTGGAAGCCAAGGCCATACCACCGAAGAAGCGGTATTACTGCGAGATCATGCTCGATGAAACATTATATGCAAGGTATTTAATACTACTAATGTACGCCTAATTATCTAAATTCAACCATATTCACTGATACCTTAAGATTTATATCCGTTTTATTGGGTTCTATTTATCTATTTGGTATTGGTGTTGTTAACAACGAAGCTTACGGAAAGAGGAAACATCTTCGTAATTAAAAAAAAAATTTTGACTTGTCCTATTATCGATGAACATCGGCTGCACGCACGAAAAAGTGTCACGTTCCGCCTGAGCCTGAGCGTGCAAGCGAGAGCGAGGAACAAGCGATACAGAAGCACAATCGACACATTTATCTCTCTGCTCGTATGACGTCAGAGCTAGTAGTCGAATAGTTCTCCTACTGACATTATCACGTAAAAGTATCTTCCGTAAACAGACTTTACAGACAACCTTTTTTTTTTGTTGTAAACTCTTTTTGACTGGAACGCGTTTCAATGTCTCCAGGTCATCGTCAAAGCTGAAGACCGAGTTGTGTTTCTGGGGCGAAGTGTACGAGTTCAGCGGTCTGCCGGCCGTGCGCGCGATACACGTGAACGTGTACCGCGAGCCGGAACGACGCAGCCGGAAACGAGACAAGCACGCTCTTGTCGGTGAGTACACCGGGTAGTTTTCCAATTACAGCACTAGAGCGCATTATGCGGCATAATGCTCAACGTTGAATGTTCCAACTACAGCAACGCTTCGCACAATCGAGCACTCTCAAAACTACTGTTCTCGCGTGATACTCGCAATCGATACCAACTCAGTGACAGAAAATTGACAAGTGTTTTTTCTTTAAGTTGGCATTGATCGAAATTTTGTTTATATTATCGTTAGTTATATTATTTATTGTTGAAAAATTTGTAAGGCTTTATTTATTTATTTATTTATTTATTTAAATAAGTACTGCCACATCACAAACATCTAACATTGAAAATAAATTTAAACTATTTAATTTATGGCCTGATGCATGTGACAACAATGGCGTACATAGCATTGGCAATTCATCGGCTCGAAAATGGAATACAATAATAATAATAATAATAATAATTAAAAAAAAAGAGTACTATTTGTTGAAATATTAATAAAAATGTCTAAAAATGTCATGTCATATCGAAAAGAAGAAAAGAAGAAATGTTAATATAATGTCAAGTAACAACAAGTCAGTTATAGAACAAGAAATGATCAACGATTAAAGTTAAAGTTAAGGTCCCTTTTCCTCTCTTTTCCTATTCTGTCCTTAAATACACGCAACTTGTCGTGGAACACATNTAGAAACAGCTAAGAGCACCCCACCGCCGTCTTTTTTAGAATTACCACTGCTTGATCGGTCCCGGCGATAAACAATGTATCTATCATCGATCAGTTCGTGATTAGAAATATTTGAGTTGAGCCAGGTTTCAGTAAATGCAATAATCTTATAATTCAACGTCAGAATATTTTTTGAAACCTCGTTAGTCTTAGTTCTAAGTCCCTGCACAGGCTTTCGTTTCGTCGTAGTTTCTTGGAAATAACCAAAGTTAATTCAAACTGTGCTGCTACCTTAGCGCACTCTGCTGATGCATTTGAAAACTAATTCACGTTCCAATTAAGCTTCAGCATAATTCGGTATTGTGTGTTACTGAGTCGCATTATGCTCTGTAATTAGAAAACTACCCAGAACTACATACTAGAAGAGCCAAACATACATCACTAACGTTACACACATCACTAGATTTACAAAGCCCCGGGAACTTGCGCGGTAATAGCCTGACGTTAATCCTTTCTAGTATTTGTTTTTTTTTTTTAAGTATTCGAAACGTCGGAAGTAAATATATAATGCCAATTTAAAAGAATGACGAGTGATTAATCCGTAAATCAGTTAACTGTTTAAATGCCACTAAGCAGTGGACATTGAGATTTGGTCTTGGCTTCTTCGAGCTAGTGGCGTGACACATTCAACGAGAAGGGTATTCGGTTATAGAAATCGAGAAAACAAAATAAGTATATCTAATGAATTTTTTTAGTGCTTAGACTTGTGAAGAAACTCACAGCCCAGCTGGTGTTAAATGGTTATCGGAATCCATAAACATCTCGAAAGAAATAAATAATAATTTAAGTTCGGCTTGTAAAACGAACTGTTTTTTTTTTTTTTTATATTGCCTTTGTAGGCAGACGAGCATACGGCCCACCTGATGGTGAGTGGTTACCGTCGCCCATGGACTTCAGCAATGCCAGGAGCGGAGCCAAGCCGCTGCCTACCGCTTAATACTCTCCACAAGCCTCGTTTGAAGAAGGAGTTTTGTTTTTGTTCAACTATGAATTTGGTCTGATTTATAATGTGTAATATTAATATTTATAGGCACAGTGCGCATCCCGGTCGACGACGTATCGTCGCGATACCTCAACGAGCGGTGGTACGCGCTGTCGGAGAGCGACAAGCCGCAGTCCCCCGGCGCCCGCGCCCCGCCGCCCCCCGCGCCCGCCCTGCGCATCAAGTGTCGCTACCAGTGCGTGGACGTGCTGCCGCTGGACTGCTACGCGAGGTTCCTCGACTACCTCAAGAGGAACTACAGGCGGCTCTGCGAATATCTAGAGCCTGTTATCGGTAAGTGCCACTGCTGTGATCAACGTTTACCACTGATGTTTAACCCATAGACTTAGCCCACTGAGTTTACTGGTGGTAGAACCTCTTGTGAGTCCGCACATCACCTGGGGTCGGCGCAACATGTTTTCTCTTTCCATATTCTTCTATCATATACAATTTCTTCGCTCACTCCCCTCTTACCCTTATCGTCTTTCACGCAATCCATCCATTTCTTCTTAGGTCTACCTCTTCCTCTATAACCTTCCACATTCATAGTTAACACTCTCTTACCAACCTCATTTTCATTTCGTCTCATCACATGTCCACTCCATCCCGAACGCGCACTTCTCAGCTTCTCTGTCACAGGTGCCACTTTCAGACTTCCTCTAACATATTCATTCCGTCCGAGCGTGAGTCATGAGCTCGTCCACCCATCTATGCAATAACAAAAAAGGGTGCGTGTACTTATGTACGCGCGTAAGAAGTAGTACTTTATTTTTATTAAATTTATTTCTTTTTTTATTTATTTAAATTTTAATCAATTTGAAAAAAAATCGATTAAACAACATCCTCAAACATGCATATTGGACATTCCTTTTCTTGACATCTTATAAATTCGGTAATTCTCGGTACGGTTCGGAAAGTTCACCTGCGGCTATATTCAGACTCGCCAAGTTACGTCGGTCGTATTGTAATGAGCGATTTAGTGGGCAACTTCATTCTGTTAATTTTGTGTCACGGTGCGCGCGCATCGTTAAATTTCACTCTCATCAATTTTTCATAACGCGCCCAAAGAAGTATAACTTCAAAAAGTAGCATAGAGTACAAAGGTCAAGCTAATAGAAGCGTTTTACAACGATGTTTCACTAAGGTGTGTTTTGTTGGTCAGGCGTGAAGGCGAAGGAGGACATCGGGTGCGCGCTGGTGCTGTGCATGGCGGGCGCGGGTCTGGCGCCGCGGTACCTCGCCGACGTGGTGGCGCTGGACGTGCGCCGCACCGGCGACCACTCGCTCACCTTCCGCGGGAACTCGCTCGCCACCAAGAGCATGGAGGCCTATCTCAAGCTCGTCGGCGATCAGTATCTACAGGTCTGTATTCTAAGCACCTTACTCAGTTTTTATTACCGTCAGACACAGCCCACTGAATTTCTCGCCGGATCATCTCAGTGGGTCGCGTTTCCGATCCGGTGGTAGATTCTGCGGAGCACGGCTCTTGCTAGGGTTCGTGTTAGCAATGTCATCAGGTTTGAGCCCCGTGAGCTCACCTACACACGTTAGGGCGAAGCTGAAGTAGACTCTCAAGACTATTAGCATATAGTATTTACTTGTGATTTCATTGAGGTAGAAATCGAAATAAACGACGGTAACCGCTTAAGTGGGTCTCCGGTAGCACCCAAATAAATATTTTCTTAATTAACTAAACTTTACGTTGTGACAGTATATCGAAGGGTGAAAGACTATTTGGTTTAAACGATATTTTTGTCACTTTACTTGGGATCTGTTTCAAGTGTAAAATTTGGAAAAAATATCCTTTTCCTATTTAACTGGAGTAAACTTAGTTAAAGTTCAATAAAATACATGAAACTGTTAATGCTGACACTAAATAAAACGAAACTTATTTTCAAAGATAAATGTCGCTTAAACCAAATAGCCTTTCACCACTCGATATATAAACAGCATTATTCTAATCAGTATATTGTGTATATAACGGAAAATTGCTCATTTATGTAAATTTACATAGGAAATTTGTTTGACTGAAACTGTGGCGCAGTAATTAGCGCCCTAAACAGCTGAACTTCAATTATCCATCGGGCATACATAAATTAATGTGACGTTTAATATCTGTAATATGTAATATGTGTATATTTATTTCGTATATAAGTACAAACATATAAATATCATACATATACATAAAATATCATACATATACATATACGTAGAGGTATTCCTAGCTTGAAGCCAGATGGCCGTACCTAATTTGTTCCCAATCATTTATTTAATTTGTGTATTTTTTTATATATTGCATATTATATATTATATATTACAATCAAGAGTCAGGAACAAGAATTTCTGTATCTGTAATACATGAAATTTTTTAAATGTATATTTAGAATCTTGAAATCACGTATATCCTACTTTATGTTTCTATTGTCCAGATTGAATTGAGCGTTGTTGAGGCTTCCACCTTATTGTAGTGCATCAGGCATGTTCGCCGATGCGCACACGAATGACTACTTCGCGATAATGCGCAAAAAGGTGGCATGCATTATGCGTAGAGTAGGGAGGAAGCACCAACAACATCTTGAGGGTATTAGCTGAAAGACTGGATGGCCCGACCCTGGGTAAGTTCATCAAGTTGCATGCTCTACATGCTGCTTGATGAGGCTGCCAGGGACGGAGTTGATAGATTTATTTAAATACTAACCATAGTTCTTAAGTTATCTATATATTAATACGTGAAGCAAAAACTTTATATCCCTTTTTACGAAAATTGCGCTGACGGAGGAGTATGAAATTTTCCACACTTATAGAGAATATAGAGAAGAAGTGCACAATGCTAATATTTTTTTTAAATAATGCATAAATGATACATTAAATCAATAAAAAAAACATTACACACACTCCCATGTATTTAACACAACACATACATATAAATATACTATTTGTTTAATGTCAGTTGTCAAACTTTTGTTATTGTTTCTGGTCAAATTGAGAATAGATCAATATTGTTTGTTTTTCAGATTATTTATCTATAGTGTAGTTTTGGTGAAATCTGTGATTATAATAAAGAAGTATAATATGACAATCGAACCAAAATAATGTTAAAACATACAATTTCAATTAATTATAGTCGAATTTCGACTATTGCGGGACTACTGTTTTGTAATAATAACACAATATGAGACTTGGTTGTCTTGAAATAAAAGTTTTTTATTTATTTTCCCCGATGGCCTCATTGATCACATTCGATTTCCCCCAGGACACACTAGGCGAGGCGGTGGCCGCGGCGGCCGGTCCCGCGGCTGTGGAGTGCGAGGTGGATCCCCTCCGGACGAGCAGCAGTGCAGCCCTCCGCAGACAACAGACGGCTCTGAGAGACGCCGTGACCCTTGCCTGGAGATCTATTGCGTCATCAGCGCCACACTTCCCACCACCTCTGAGGGACTGTTTCGCTACCTTCCGAGAAAGGTTAATAGCTTCTTACTCTCGTCACAAATCACAATCGAAGTATCTAGAAAGAAGATATATTTAACAACAGTTGTCGAAGCGAAATGCACGGATGCTAAGTGGCCCAAATAGATAGGGGGATTACGTGTGCCGGCCTTATCGTTTCACAGTAGGGACACATTAAAAATTCGGTGTTGTGAACCCTGAACCACATACGAATGCTTAAAAGGTTAAAGTTGAGCGTATGATGTAAAAAAATTGAGTTTTCAAATTAATTCTATAACAAGCTCTTTCTAATCTTAATGATTTATAATTAGATGAAATCTAAATGCTCGATAAAATTATTCAAGTTCCGTTTCAACTGTTTCTCTCGTGATGACATTAAAAACTTATTTCAGATTGACTTCGATGGGACGAGAAGACATCTCTGACAACCTGATCAGCGCGTCCATATTCCTTCGCTTCCTATGTCCAGCTATATTGTCTCCCAGCCTCTTTGGAATTACTCACGGTAATTTTGTGTATTTGATTCATTTATTTCTGCAGCAAAAGTCAATCAAGCGACCGATGGGTGGATTCGGTTGCGGTGGCCATCTTCATGTCTCGAGGTGAATGGATGGTATTCAACTTGAAACATTTGATATACGGTAGTCGTCTCAAATGCGTGCCTTACACAAGTTATGCCGTGAACTCGTATGCCTAGTAATAAGTTTCTTTATTGCCTTTGTTCAGGGAAAGCCTAGTCTGTTCTAGTTAGAGAAAGCCTAGTCTGTTCTAGTTTTTTTTATTGCCCGTGTAGGCAGACGAGCATACGGCCCACCTGATGGTAAGTGTTTATCGTCGCTCAAGGACGTCAGCAATGCCAGAGCCAGGCCGCTGACTACTAGTGTAAATGAAGGAATCATTAATTTGTTACTAATAGTTTTTTTTATTTTTTATTGCATAGATGGGTGGACGAGCTCACACCTGGTGTTAAGTGGTTACTGGAGCCCATAGACATCTACAACGTAAATGCGCCACACACCTTGAGATATAAGTTCTGAGGTCTCAGTATAGTTACAACGGCTGCTCCACCCTTCAAACCGAAACGCATTACTGCTTCACGGCCGAAATAGGCGGGGTGGTGGTACCTATCCGTGCGGACTCACAAGAGGTCCTGTCACCAGTCACACTTGTCACTACTTGTCCTACATGACCACTACTCTGACCCACTACTTGAAAAGATTTTCCAGACCATGTCTTGGAGACTGCGTGATATGTCCGAAAAAGCTTAGTGTTCGATCGTGGCAAATAGTGGGGAGCAATCTTGTGATGTGTGTATGATGTGAAATCGTGTACCTAGATCTAAAATACATGGAGGTATCATCAAATTCTTCATTTTTTTTTGTGTTGTAGAATACCCGAACGAGCGCGCGGCACGTAACTTGACGTTGGTCGCGAAGACGCTGCAGACGTTGGCGAACTTCACGCGGTTCCAAGGGAAGGAGGCCTTCATGGAGTTCCTAAACGACTTCCTCGAACAAGAGGCGCCTAATATGAAAGCTTTCCTTAGGACTATTTCTGTAAGTTAATACTAAAATATACGTGCTCGTTCGCTACCATCTGTGCCTGTATTTCGAAGTCTTCCGGAGATATTTTAAATGCGAAATATATTTATTTATATAACGAAGCTAAAAAAAATGGACGCGGCATTTTCTTACATTCACTGGGATGGGAACTGAATAAGTTGCTAAATTACGGTAACATGTACTACTTATATTTTATATGGAATTTTTTGGATATATCAAAAACAAAGAATATTATTATCACTTTTTTTTATTTATTGCTTATATGGTTGGACGAACTCACAGACCACCTGGTGTTAAGTGGTTACTGGAGCCCATAGACATCTATAATGTAAATGCGCCACCCACCTTGAGATATAATTTCTAAGATCTCAGGTATAGTTGTTACAACGGCTGCCCCACCCTTCAAACCGAAACGCATTTTATTTGAATATTTTCCTATTATGACAATCTAGATTCACACAGTTTTGACTTTATTCCACAGTCCCGTCCACCAGCACCTGAGCAGCAGATCCCAACTCAGCCACAAGAAGGCAGCAACAGAAATTCGTCGTCTTCCCAAGGCTCCCTCCCGGGCGAGGGTCCGCGCGGAGACGCCTCCGTGGAGCCTGACCCGGAATGGGCGCCTCACGTCGACTTGGGCAAACAACTGGCAACACTGCACGGGCTGCTCGTTGACAGCTTGCCGAAGTTGCCAGCCGCTAAAATTCAGGTTAGTATTTTAATCTTTTGTATTTTAGCTTCAAACTTATTACAGCCCAGATGAGGTCATTTAAACTAAATTTATAAAACTCTAGCTGTACCCGTCCGCTTCGCTGGGCATTTAAAATTAACATTATTATTTCTCAACCCCACAAAGATTCTCATCATTAACGCCCCCGCAACTGATGTAGGGAGTCCAACACTCATATAAATATTAGCCTATACATTAAGTACATGTATTTTCTACAAGTTTCAAGTCAATCGGATGCATCTTTCAGTAGTTATAACAGAACATCCGTGAAAACTACTATAGATTTATATATTATAATAGTATAGATAATCGGTTCATGATCAGAAGAAACGGAGTTGTGGTACGTGCCCCATTTAAAAAAAGAACAGTTGAAAAGGAATGTGTTTTTTATTTAATTTGAAGTTATATTTAAGTTGTTCTGGTATTTTCAGGAACTGGATCCACTAAATGATATATTAGACGAACTAAGTAAGAGGCTGGTGAACAACGATATTTCGATTACACAGCAAGTCACTGACAACATATTTAGGTAAGTTAAATATAATCTTTTAAATTTGGACTTACATTAAATATCCAACATTTTTTAATTCCAAACCAACTAGATAAAATAGCTATGTATATGAAAAGTCAAAACAGTTAAATACCATTTTTTGTAAACGATTTTTTTTTGTGTCAATAAGGAAAAAAATAACATCATTAATAACATCAAACAATGGTCTAATTCAATCGAATCTTAATCTATATAAATAAAAATCACTGTATATGTTATTTATAAATATCCTCTATACATTTCTCAACCATTCACGAACCCGATTGCGATCGAACCTGCTATATTTGTTGTTGGCAACCCAGGGAAAGTTTCTGTTATAATCTATGGTACACTGAGTGGCGCGTACTCTCACGTAATCAATGTTTCTCATACAATGATCAACAGTTATAATAGAGCAGGACCGAGTTTCACTAATGCAATATAAGACGTAGCGTGGGTAGGCCTCCCGTAAGACGGACCGACGACCTATTGAGTTTCGCGGGGTACAGCTGGATGCTGGTGTCGTATGATAGCGCAGGACCGATATTTGTGGCCTATATCCGCAGTAGACGATAAAATAGAATAGAAAATACAAGAAATGATTGTTTCAGGTTCAACGACCCAACGTGCAACACCGCAACGTTACCAGCGAACCCAGAGCCGCCGCTGAACGTGCAGCTCACTAACAACTTCGCGCACAGCTCGCCGCTCACGAACAGAAACGGCGTCCAGTTTAACGTGAGCCCTTCGAAGTCGAACGCCGACGAAACGAAGCCCAAAGGACCGTACGTCGCCGTCTCGAAATCGCCGAGCTTCAATTTGCGCTCGGCAACGTTACCGAGAAACGGATACGGAAGTAACACCTCTAACGCGAACGTGAACCCCGATCGATACAGCTCTCAGTACAACAACCAGGAGCACTGCGTCAATTTGAAGGTCGTCCAGATCGGCTTCGGCTCGGATCAGTACGCTAAAGGCATCAGCAACGGAGTCAACGAAAGCCTAGAGAGGAGGATCCAGGAACGGTACAAACCGAACAACTACACCCAACATTATCATAACGCGAACTACAACACGGAGAGATCGCCCAGCGGTGACAGCATCAACCACAACTACAGCTCGAACGAGAGACCGAACGTCATAAAGGAGACGGCCACTTTAGACGAACTCTCCGATTTGTTGAATTACGCCGACGAAGATCTAGCCGAAGATAAACTGATCATGAACAAAAAGAACTTGGCTCAATCTAAAACGAATAATAACATTGTGAACGGAAACAAAACGAACTACGCGAACAACGGCTCGAACGTATCGATCAGCGGCCTCTCCAACGTGGCCAGCTCCGGCTACCAGAGCATCGCCACGTACAGCCAGAGCTCCAGTCCGGTCGAGAACCCTACTCACCAGCATCAGACCTTCGAGAACGGCGGCCAGCCCATGAGCCGGTATTCACAGCTCAACTACCAAAAGCAGAGAGACCGGCAGTACTACGACAGTAAAAACGAAAAGTTCTACCCGAAGAGCCCAGTGCAACAGAAAATCGAATACGACATTCAGAAATACGGGATACAGAACTTCACAACGGCCGACAACAACGCACACGCAAACGCCAACGTCAACGCAAAGATGGCGCCGCTGGTGTTCACTAACCCGGTATACAACATGGAGGACGGCCGTCAACCGCAGGAGAAAAAGACAAACGATAACAGAAACTCAAAGCGTTGCCCTTGCGGCTCGTCCAGTTCATCGATCGATGAGGAGGGCTTGAGCACAGACAACGTGGAAACCAACTCGGAGGAGGGTTCTGCTAACTTCAACGAGGACGGCAGGAACTATGACCAACAGAACCGCAACAATACCCACCGAAAATTAACCAGAGATAATTGTAATTACGAAGATTTATACCAGAGAAGTAATCATAGTCACTCACCGAGAATCAGGGACGACGAGTCGTCGAGCAACTCGCCCAGCCTGCGGAAACACAGCAAGACGCGCATGCCCAGAACCAACCCGATGCTCTCTTATTCCACGAATCAAAATCAATTGAACCTGAAACATTTCGGGCAAAGAGGAGACTCGTTGTACGAGAGCAAACCTCACCACATCTCGACCGACTCCGGCTACCCGATGAGCAGATCGGAATCGAACGTCGAAGAAGTCAACAAGGAAATGTACAGGTTACAGATATCGAGATCTCAGAAGGCGTTGTTCAATATGGAGAACACGAAAAATTCTCCAGAGAAATATACAATGACGGAAAGTGCAATAACCGAATCGAACTATCCGCTCGATCGGACTTATTCCGGAGCCAAGGTATCCGGCAGCAGGCTGAACGAGGACCTCGAAAGACAACAAGATTATTATGGGGTTAGAGAACGAAGGGAGTCGCCTTCGCAGGGGATATTCAGTCGCGAGTCTCAGTCGAGCGAGGCGAGCGAGCGGGCGCTGGTCAGAACCGAACGGGAAGTCGCCGGTCGAGAGAAACTGCAGAGACGACTTAGTCTGGAGTCGGCGCGAGAGCTAACCGACAGCTCTGATGAGATCGAGGAGACGTTGTACAGCACCACCGGCCGACGCCGGATGAACAAACATCACAGGACCATTGAACAGGTATGCTGTCTACGGCTATTGCTCTGAGGGTCTGTAATTAAATAACTGTGTTTGCGCTGCGTGCGTAAGAAGTCATACTTTGAAGTTATTGACATACAAATAATACTTACATCTAGACGCGTGACTTCTAAATGTGCTTAAAGAAGTACATCTACTAGAAAGAAGAAAAAAAAAATTATTGCTTATACGTGTGGACGAGCTCACAGCCCACCTGGTGTTAAGTGGTTACTGGAGCCCATAGATATCTACAACGTAAATGCGCCACACACCTTGAGATATAAGTTCTAAGGTATAGTTATTACGGCTGCCCCGCCCTTCAAACCAAAACGCATTACTGCTTCACGGCAGAAATAGGCAGAAATAATCATAAAACACTCCGAAACATAATGAACTACGTTTTTTTTTTAAACTTCGTATATTTAAGTTGTATTCATGTACTAATGGCGAATTTAACTTATTTTCAGTATGAACGAGAAATCGAAAGACTGAAATGCTCCGTCGAATTACTACGAGGGAGGTTGGGACCAACCGAACCAGGTCAAGATCACACCGATGCTAAAATGAAGGCTATAATTTCAAGGTTATTGGATTTTAATTTCTTATTTTACTTAATATTATCATTCAAAAAAATATCTGACGATCGACGATTACGAAATCGGACTTTTTTTTATTATTGTGTCTCGCACATTTTGTGCATTTGCCACTTCTAGATCGAACTACTTGCTCTCTTGGAACGCTGTTCTATGTTGCCACTTTCATGAACCTAACTTGAAGATTCGATTTGTGATTAGGAAAATTGATTTTTCAAAAGTTTTTGATTTTTCTTGGATTTACAGTGAAGATTTTTAAAACTCCTTACAGTACTCATAATTTCAGATTTGATTGATCTTCTACACTGTTTATTATTTACTATTATGTATTATTGTGATTTTATATTTATATTCGCTTTTATTTATTCTGAATTAAAAAATATTTTTAAGGTTAATCTGTGTCGAGGAAGAATTGAGGAGGGAACAACGCAAGATGGCCGCCGCACTGTCCCACAAGCAACGAGTGATCGAAGCACAAGAACACCGTATCGCAGCTCTCGACGAGGCCAACACCAGGCTTCTCTCGGCTCTTGTTCACTTACAACAGAGAGCCCCCCACACTCCCACCACACATCCCACACATAACAACTCGCACCCGCCTTCTCACACACAGCACTCTCATCAAGAACTGCAAATATAATTACCTCCTGATCTTTCTCATTACACAACGCTAGCCCTGTTATTACCTAAAAATAGTTGAAGGATAAAGAAAAAACGGTAACTTAGTCCATTTAGATTTTTTATATCTGGCAATACTGTCCCAAATGTTAAAAGTAGTGTACACTTATCTTTTTTAACTTCAAAGCATTTAAAGTTCGTAACTAATTGCAGACAGGTTGATTCGATTAAATAAATATTTATTTATTATTAAAAATATATACTTGTTTAAAGCTAGTGTACAAAATAAGACACGATCTACCTATTGCTAGCTTCCATAGTAAATGGTAATAACAGGGTCGGGTGTAAATAATAAAAATAATAAAACTTTTAACAGTTAAACAAAAAAACTATGTAAACAAAACGAATTATCTTTAATCAAACTTTGACTAACACATTTAATTGTTGACATTACCCTCATCTATTTAACAGTACAGTGCAAATTTAGTATTTAAATGTAAATGATTTTTTAATGTCAAAAAATAAATCCATGTTGTATTATGCATTTTACAGTTTCAAAATCTTATATATCGCGCACAAATTTATATAAAAAAAATATTAAAACAGTAACTAATATTTCTTATTTAAGTAAAACTTTATGTTACTAATTTCGATGTATTGAGATTACATATCGACGGTTGAAAGGCAAACGTGACTAAGCGACAATGCGTGAACTTTACAGTAGACTAATTTAAAGTTGAAATACTTGAAAACAAAATTTATTTTAACGAATCTAGCTAGTAGCTGTAGGATTGAATAAATGATTTTAATAGACCTAGAAATATATTTTTTTGCGCATCGAATATGGTTATTGCTTATCATTTATGTTAAAGCAGTTATTGTCGCTTAGTCACGTTTGCCTTCAAGCGTCGATATATAAATTTTTGACGGACTTCGATCGTACATACGTGTTTCAATTATTATTATAATTTTTTAATTCGATTATGTTTTAATATTCGCCAAACTGTTATCGTTTACGACTTTAACTCGTTCTGTAATTATTTTAGTTATTGTTTCTTTAGTTTTAATTGAAAAAAATGCTTTAAAGTTACAAACGTTCGTTGCATCAGTATTCACAGCTGGGTTCTGTTCGCGTCACGTGTCGACAATTTGTTTTGTTTTTCGTAACAATGATACCAAAGACGATTGAATATCCCTTAGACTTAATATTACAAATAATTTAGTAGCGACAACAGACTAGACATGCCGCTACACAAAAACCAATGTTCTTTTTAAACATAATAAAATTTTGTAATTAATATTAAGTATTGTATAATAATACAATTTGGCTTGTAAGTGTATAACGTTGTAAGAATACTAAATTTATTTTTAATACCCTTGGAGTATTGTGAATTTTTCGGAATCGAGTTTAAAATGTATGAAATATTTTTACCTTTGAGGGTCTTCAATTGATCGCAACTCACACATTCTGCAACCTAGTTGTTATTCAGTGAAATTTTTAATTTTAAGCCATAACGATGTACAGAATACACGCACAGGTATCTCTGTACTTGTAATATTAAATTATGAATTGTAGTATTGTGTTTCATTTTTTTTTTATTCCCTACCTATTCGCTGGTAGCCTAAGGGTTTTTCGAGCTTCACGCGGACGGCTAGGCGAAATCACAGACTCAACCTGAAAGAATTTCCTAATACTAGTCCGAGCAAGAACAGTGTTTCGCAGAATCTACCACCGGATCGTGACCCACTGGGAAGATCCGGCGAGAAACTCGGCTGTGCCTCATAGAAAAGTTTATAGCAAAAATTTAAGGAAATTGATTTTATTTAAATTGCTTTGAATTTCCGCGTGGGCGCACAGCCCACCTAATATTAAATAATTAGCCAAACAGTTCGACAACGTCGTCTATGCCCCAGATTCTAAAGATGAAAGTCTTCAATCAGTGCGTCCTGCCTGTCGTGACATACGGATCCAAAATCACGGTTTGGCTGGTACAAAAGTTTAAAGTCGCTATGAAGAGGGCGATGCTTTGAGTTTCTCTGAAGGATCGAATCCAGAATGATGTGATCCGACAGAGAACCAAAGCTATCAACATAGCACAGCGGAATAGTAAGCTGAAGTGGCAATGGGATGGCCGTATTACCAGGACAACCGACCTTAACCTTTAGGGTAAATGTGTTCTTGAGTGGAGACCGCGAATTGGGAAACGTAGTGGAGGATGCCCTCAGGCTTGTTGGACTGACGATCTATGCAGGGTGGTTGACAAATGCTGGGTGAGAAAAGCCGAGGATCATGCTCAGTGGCGTGCAATTAGAGAGGCCTATGTCTAGCAGTACTAGGCTGCACTAAAAGTATCGGGAATGGAATATTTCCACTGTTCCTGTCATATTAAAATCTTTTTAATTGAAAATTCCTTGGTTTTAAAAATCGAATACCATCTATTTATTTTAAAAAAGTTTTTCGGTATTGTCACGAGGTTTTGTCAAACTTGTTTAGTCGTTGAGAAAATGGAATTGACTCGAGAAAATTCAAGAGCGATGATTTATTATGACTTTCGAAGTGGTTTAACACAAAAACAGTGTGTTGACCGGATGATTTCTGCATTTGGTGATGAAGCCCCATCCAAAACCACAATTTATCGCTGGTTTGCTGAGTTTCAACGTGGACGTGTCAAGCTCAGTGATGATCCCCGTCAAGGTCGTCCAAAAACTGCAGTCACCCAAGAAAACGTTGATGCTGTGCGTAAGCTGATTGAGGAAGATCGACATGTGACATACCGCGAAATTCAGGCAACTTTAGACATTGGCATGAGTCAAATACAAATAATCTTGCATGAACAATTAGGTGTAAAAAAGTTGTTTTCCCGATGGATACCGCATTCGCTCTGTGAAGAGCAAAAAGCGGCTCGCGTTACTTGGTGCGTCAGAACTCTCGAAAGATTCCACGCAGGATCCTCAAATGCTGTATACAACATTGTATCAGGTGACGAATCCTGGATATACGCGTACGAACCCGAAACAAAAAACCAGTCACGAGTTTGGGTGTTCGAAAATGAGTTAAAGCCAACAAAAATTGTTCGTTCACGGAGTGTTGCAAAAAAAATGGTGGCCACGTTTGTCTCCAAAACCGGCCATGTTACGACTATTCCTCTTGAGGGACAAAGAACGGTTAATGCAGAATGGTATGCTAGCATTTGTTTGCCACAGGTCGTTTCTGAACTCCGTAAAGAGAACTGCAACCGCCGCATCATCCTCCATCACGACAATGCGAGTTCTCACACCGCGCACAGAACAAAAGAGTTTTTAGAGCAAGAAAACATAGAATTATTAGACCATCCGCCGTACAGCCCCGACCTAAGCCCTAATGATTTCTATACTTTCCCTAAAATAAAGAATAAATTGCGTAGACAGAGATTTTCATCACCTGAAGAAGCTGTGGACGCCTACAAAACGGCCATTTTGGAGACCCCAACTTCCGAATGGAATGGTTGCTTCAATGATTGGTTCCATCGTATGGAAAAATGTGTCAAATTTCGCGGAGAATACTTCGAAAAGCAATAAATACATTTTTAAATAGTAATGTTGGGTCACTTCGTTATTTCCCGAAATTTTCAGTGCCGCCCTCGTAGGCTGCTATCGGCTGATGAAGTGATGTGATGAGAAGGGACGCTCAAGTAGTTTTTGGCAAATCAACCAAGCAAAGCAAACAAAGATACATTTTTGCTGCATTATAAAAATACATACGGCCCACCTAATGGTGAGTGGTTACCGTCTCTCATGGACGTGAAGCGAATGGGTGAAGCATTTCATTTCAATAAGTTAAATTATAAGACTAGACTCTTTGTTGCGTTGTGGTAAACGTGTACTACATTTATTGCTTTTGAGATATTTATTAGTCTTTACGTGACAAATTAAAGATTGAATATAACAGAAATATGAAATCGATGCGTCGCTCTTGGCGACTGGAAATGAAAGGGAAAAAGTGTCATAGCGGACGTCGCTCTCTGACACTGACGTTTCGAAATAGAGCAGTCTTCGACACTCTGTGGTCATCCGACGACCAGGCCTAGAGATAGCCCAAGTGGAGCTTCGACCACCACTCTGAACACCACGGCTAAACGAGTTAGCAACTGGTTAGCAGAATGTTCAACAAAGAAGCCTCGGGCCCCTCAATGAGAACAAGGTAGTATCTGAGTAAAGCGTGCAATACAGTGTGCGCTCCACCAAGGGTCGCTTGAGAGACTGACGCAGGGAAGCCGATTTAAAACTGTAATATAACAGAATAGCTTTATTCAGTAAAAAAAGACGTTAGTAAAAGTTCTCAGGCTAAAAAAACATCTTCAATCTTTAGCTTCGATACCTGCAGGCACACAACAATACCGCCTACGAGCCAACACATCTTTGCGTTCTGCAGCTTCTTTCGAACTGTATGGACGTATCAGTTGTAAGTCTTCAATGCGTTTAAACAAATATGAAAAGTATATTTCGCGAAACTTTTTATCTGGGAACTGAGCCTGACACATCGACGGCCACATGAGATTGGTACCGTAAGCGTGAGACCGATACATTTGTAACTTAAATTTCTCAGTGTATTTGTCGAATTGTTGTTGTAATTCTCGCTTGTGCATCCAATTTGTATTACCACCGAAAATGGCATCTCTCGGAGGAGAAACGTGATCGTATCCTTTCATAGCGAACATACGGAATAGCTGCCAATAGAATTCGCTTTTGCGCAGTGTTTCTGTTATTTGGTATCCCTTTAATGGACCATAAATACGTCTCCTCATCCATTCCTTAAGCTCTGGAACTAGATGTATGTCTGGTAATCTTGCAGCGACATTTACTTTTTTCATCAGCCGCAGAGCGCATTTCAAGTAATCTTCCGGCTTCGGAGATTCACCCAAACATGTAGTAGATGACCTTTTTAACTTTTTCTTCTTTTTATCTTTGATAGCTTTCAAAGTACCGTCATCAACGTGAAGCACACTATCTGTGTCCCAAAGTTTTTTGAATTCCTTGCGAACGAGGAGTCGTTTTTCATCTAAGTCATAAATTGTGTCATAATTAAAAACGAAAGGCGATTTCCGTGTAGGCTTTTCGAAAAATGGTAATTCTTCAGGTAGAAAAGCTCCCTCGTTACCATAATCATAGTGATGACCGCAATAGCATTTTGTTCTTTTTACATATTGGATCACTGTATCGTGCCATTTCTTAACGCAATCGCAAGGATCAGGTTTCGGTGGTGGTGGTCGCCCGCGGAAACCACAATGTATGTTGACGCATTGACCGCCCATGTATTTGTGTCCACCGTGAATGAGATCCCCTGTTGGAGGCAGCACGGAAACTGTACTAATCACAAAAACTGATTTTCCACGTATGTAACAAACCCCGCTGATCACGTATTGTGTGTTCCACATGCCTGTAGATGGCGCTACAGGTTTTCTTCTTCGGCCACCTTTTCTTTTACCAACCCCACTCATGCCATAGGTCTTTTTAACTTCAGTAACAGATAGTTTTGAACCCCGAAGCTTACGATGACTAGTACGAGCGACTGTTTTCAAACTGACTGCCGTCACGGATGTGTGAGGCTCAATTCTCATGATTCCAGCAATTTTGTCACAAAACGATCGCGCTAGCCGTTTTTTTGGTGGTGGTGGTGGCGGCGGAGGGGGAGGTAGCTTAGGCACCGGTGGCTCTTCTTCGTAAGGCTCATTGAGATCATTTAAGTTAGGCAAAGGAGGTGGACGCTTCGGCTTCCTTTTAGGAGGCTCATAAAGAACAGCTATCATTTTTTGAAGATACGGTGATTTCAATGGAGGTTCGATTTTAGCCTTCGGCTTATTGACCGGTTTTTTATGACTTGGATCAGGTTTGAATCTTTCACGGAGCAATTGTATGAGATTATCTAGACCTAAATATAGTATACCAGACAACATGAGCCGGGCATTCAGATTGTAGACAGCTCGTTTCCCATCGATAGGATGGCCGTAGGTCATAAGGAATAGTTGTGCTAGCATCTCTTTTGGATCATTCCGCCCTAAATATACACAGTTCATTAAGTTTATTATGTTTGGACGTGGGTATAAACCTAGCTCTTTCATGACTCTAGCCGTTCTTATGGGACGCCCTTCTAAAATGTCCTGATAAATTGAAAACTCTAAAGTATCTAGAGCACTTCTCTGCGGAACGCTCAAAACCTGATACCAAATTGGTCCAATTGAATCTCTAACTTTCTTGAGCATACGCTTGTCATTCTTTTGTCTTATTTCTTTAAGCTCTTGCATGAATACTTGTCTTTCCTTAGTTTTCCGTGCGTAGATAATCTGGAGCCGCCGGTGGGCGCGTTCCTCATGACTTGTGTCAGGTCCATAGTTTTGATGTACCATTCTCTCGACTGTATTTGGCAATAACGAATAGTAGTAATAAAGAAATAAATAGAAATACTCTTGATAAAACCACAATTTAGAAAAAAATATGCGTAGCAGCCATATTTTGACAATTATGACGTTTTTTTGCCACTGACACCTATCATTTCACTATGGCTTCAAGAAATATGAACAAGTGTCTATAAATCTGGCACCAGTCATATCTGCCGTGCAGGCATTTCTGATCAGAAAGAGATCTTTTGTGGAAACGTGACTTTAAAAAATTCGTATCGATACGAACGTGATTTCTATAAATTTTAAATGAGTAACGGTGTCTGAAAATTTCAAAATATTTATTAGCTTCCATCGTGCAGGGTGACGCAGGTCGGCGCGATCAGCTGTGTGAAACTCGGCCGGTCGTAGACCCACGTTTTGGGTTGAACGCCCTCGGTCATCCATCACCTGAATAATTCTACTCATTCATACTCGACGGCGAATCTATCTTAATATTTAACATCTCATGCATTGTTCCGGAAACGATCAATCAAGTGAATCTACCACAAATGTGGATGCAAAACCGATTGACAGCAATGAATTCGTAGGTACTTCCAATTGTTGAATTCCGCTGGTCTAACCTCTACTGATTCTGGTATAAATTATTTTATCAAAATCGAGGTAATGAATGGCTAACCGTAATCATATGAATTAGATCTAAGTATCATTCAAAATGATTATAAGTCGACAGCAAACTAGTGTTACTTACTTGTTTTATTTATTTATTGAGATAATTTTAATAAAGATTTATAACGAAGTGTCAGTTTTACTATACCGATGGCATGTCATTAACGTTAATGAACTTCAATTCTGTTAATCGCTTTAGTATGACTAGTTCCAGTAGCATTTATTCAAGCAATCTCACTGTTTGCAGTTCTAACAACCTAACCCATGCATCAGCCCGCTGAGTTTCTCGCCGGATCTTCTCAGCGGGTTCGCGAAGCAATTGCTCTTGCGTTGTTAGGTCTCCTTCGGAGGCGCTCGGGCAGTTGTTAGCAAATCCCACCCTTCCTAGCTGAGCCTTTGCTCGCCCACCTGTCCTGGTGAAACTGGAAAGGCCTTCGGGCCACCAGTAATCTTTCAATCATAAAAAAAAGTTCTAACAAAAAAAAATTCACTGCCAACTCTCTTTTCAAAATCTATGCCTTCATCTAGTTTATATTTAAATTGTGAATTTCATTATAATTGTGTCCATTTACATGCAAATATTTCCAAGTGACTTTCTTTTCATTAACAACAAACGTGAGATGCTATCTATCGAACGTTGGCGTTAGCTTTAGACGCACACAGCAAGAATTTCTGTATTAATTACAAAGAAAAAAAAACAGCTCTGTACCTTTTTTATCTCTACTTGTCAATTCTTTTTTTTGTCAAGTAATTATATATATTTATTATCATTAAATTCAGACTCTATGCAGATTCTAGTACTATTGGAGTACTATTGGAAAATCTATAATTATCATGAAATTGTGGGATGATATGAAGATATGAAGTTAATTAAATCGTATAGTTAGCCATAATTTATTTGTAACAATTTATTTGTTTCAAATTTTATTTGTAACACTTTAAACAAATGTGTAATGTATTCAACAACTAAGCGTTCTGTACGTAAAATGTTTTGCGGCTATGCGCCAGGACCGAGTCTAGGCGCTCATGAACGTTCACTTTCCACGTGCCAGGAAGTATCCGAAGGCACTTTCACTCCATTCAAGACCAGGTCGCTGTTCCGCCAGAGCTGTAGCTATACTAAACAATAACCAGGCGCCATTGTCTTTGTGTTCTCGGCTTCCAATGATATTCCGGCTGATGTCAAATCTGTCGTTCATTAAGCTGTTTTTTAACGCGAACGCGAGTAAACTTACGTAAGTTACGTAAATTTCTTCGGTTTTCCTGAATCTTATACGTAATTAAAACTGGTTTTGACGTTTTAATCTCGCGTTTATTATTTCCAGCTTTTCAAATACTTTACAGTTTTCGTGTATCACGAACGATAAAAAAATTGAAAATAAATATAAAGACATAGTAGGTACTTATTGTACTTGTGAATAAAATTAAATGCATTTTTATTCATCGATCATCTGATTAAAATCCGAATGAATAACACTAACTTAAATTTTTTGTTGAGAATTGAAAAGGTTTTTATTGAATAATCAATAATAACATACGGTTCAGCTAATCGATTTACTTTTTTTTTTGTCTCCATTTAAAAATGCACTAGAACAAATATTAAGTCCCATTGTAATATCGATATCACTTATAAATCGTGTTAAATAATTAAATATCTTCATATTTAGCTGAAAACCTATTTATTACGTCTTAAATTAGATTAATAATAGACAAACTATTCCTTCTGATTCATCTTCCAATAGATCCACGGCTAAGCACTATCCGAACATAATTGATTTATGTTAAGTATCGTTCGTTTATTTTTAAAAACATCTTACCTTCGGGGACTATAAAAGATTTCAGCCGCTAGTCCTCGGGAGGTCGTTGACCGTGCTCTTATCTCGGGCATGTGTGCGCACGTGTTTGTGTACGGTGCGCCCGAGTTTGTGCTTTGTTTTGTGAATTGCGATATTATGCAACGCTTATGAAGCGGATAACGTTATCGAAATGTTCATCTACACCATGCTCGTATAGAATTTGTTATTTTCGTTCGCTTTTTGAATGCGACGCGTGTCGTGTTATGCCAGGGCCAGCGTTAGAAATTCTCTCGGATTGAACCCGTGAACTCACCTACTGATTCGTGTGAAGCTGGAATAGCCCCTTACGCTATGAACGATTAGGTAGGAAAACATAACGCATGTCGTCAGGTTCGCGTGTCGGTTCCTGATCAATTCAAATTTCATTTAAAAGACGAGGCGGTCACCGTCCTCGTCGAACCCGTTGCTTGCGACGAAGGACTCGACGAGCGAATTAACCCATAGACACAGCCCACTGAGTTTCTCGCCGGATCTTCTCAGTGGGTCGCGTTTCCGATCCGGTGGTAGATTCTGCGAAGCACTGCTCTTGCTAGGGTCAGTGTTAGCAATGTTATCTCCGGTTTGAGCCCCGTGAGCTCACCTACACACGTTAGGGCGAAGCTGAAATAGCCTCTCAAGGCTATCAGCATAGGTAGGAAAAAAAAAGATGAGGTGGTTTTTTTACAAATTAGGTGTATTTAAAAAAAAAACACACACACACACACACACTTTAGTCGGGTTATTGATTGTATTTAAATTGAAAAGTTGAACGCACCGCATGATAACGTTGAATAGACTGCCGTTGACGTACTGCGGATCCATACCACAGCGACAAAAATAGATATATATCTTCAGTTTCTAACAATGGTCTTATTAACAAGAATCTACAAAATCAACAGGATGAGTTTTCAGCTGTACAAACTCGTGCACTTGTTAACGTTCGCTTTAACATTTGCGATTCGTTTTATGGTTTGCCTTCTTACTGAGTAGTTTTAACTTACGCACTCTGATATTATTAAATTAAATGAAAATGATGCGGTAGACGCTAGTTTACTGGTGGTAAGGCGTATTGTAACCCCACACGGGTATGTACTACCGGCCAGTCTATTTCGATCGCGTAGCAATAATGTGTTCGGATTTGAAGAGTCGACCAGTTGTTATGCAAAGAAATCGAGACTTCTACATTTTCTCTCAAGGTGGTATTTACGCTGTGATATCTATGGGTTGGCGCGATTTGGTTAGTAGGTGGTAGGGTGTCTTGTAAATCTGTCTACACGGGTTGGTACCACCACCCTGAAGCAGTAATTCATTTCGGTTGGAAGGATGGGGCAGCCGTTGTACTGAAAACAGATACTTAGTACTCACATCTCAAAGTGGGTGGCGGCATTTACGATGTTGATGTCAATGGGCTCCCGTAACCAGGCGGGCCGTGAGCTCATCCACCCATCTTAGCAATAAAGAAAAAAAAGTACATGGCAGTACATACGAGTAAATAAAAAACAAACATACCGAACATTGAACTCATACTAAAATGACATAAATAAAATCTATGTAGTCAGACGATATATGTACAAGTACTTAATGCATTTTTGGATAAGGTAGTTGTAGCCGTAGAGCTGTATACTTCAAAATGCATGGCGATTCTAAACAAGATGAACAGCAACGACTTGCTAGTCAAGGTATATTGGTTTACAAGACAGTAAAATAGCGCTAGTCAAATTGGTCATGAAAAGCGCCAAGACGATTTTTGACAACCCTAATAAACTTTAAACTGCCTTCTGAATTAAAGCGGGGTGTCTATCAAAAGCAGATTCGTTCTAGCAAAAACCATCGAAACAATTACACGTGAAAGCCCTGGAGAACGGATTCTTTGACCCGAGAACCTCTCAAACTGCATCGCAATCTGTTAAGAATTTTTATAGCACCTCAACAGGACATTATTACCTGTGTAGAGGGTAGCCATCATACAACGCAAGATATTTGACAGATGCCTCGAATCTCGCTTACGACATTTTCAAGATAAGCTTGCATATATACAAGTTCCGAACAACAACATTCAACCCTCAGATACAGCCCACTGAGTTTCTCGCCGGATCTTCTCAGTGGGTTGCGTTTCCGTGGTAGATTCTGCGAAGCACGGCTCTTGCTAGGGTTCATGTTAGCAACGTCGTCAGGTTGAGCCCCGTGAGCTCACCTACTAGTTAAGGTTACGCTGATATAGCCACTCAAGGCTCTCAGCTTAGGTAGAAAAAAAAACAACATTCGGACCGTCGGTCTACCGAGCAATATCACCCGCTCGGTAAAAGATCTTCCCCTTATCCTTCCCCCAATCTCCCCACACCTGCAAAAACTTCGACATGCTGGGCGTCACTACTGATCTCATATTAGTTGTATATGGTAAGAAGGATAAGAGACCTTTTAGACACACACTACTTTGCTGCAGAGAGTAAAATACACTTATCGGAGAGCACATTCTCTAATCCTAGACCAGTTGTCCCGGGAAAG